TTATCTGGATAAGCTTATATTGTTTATCCATAACAAGGGCAAAATAGTCATTTATCCAGAATAAGCTATTTTCGAAACGTACAATCCAAACAGCTAGTCAGCTTAATAGGATAAGCCGTTGATCTACAGATTATCAGGATAAGCTGCTTATCAGGATAAGCTGCTTATCAGGATGAGCTGCTTATCTGGATGAGCTGAATAAGCTGCAGCTGCCCAAACAGACCCTTAGTACACTTTGGTGGTGGAAGTCAAAATCAAACCATAATGCCATCTTTTATCTAATCAATCTAATTTGCCTTTGGGTAGTGTCAATCCCCACCTTAAAATGATACTTTCCACCATGTCAACTCTAGGTTGTAAGTGATAAGCGGTCACTAGCTCATGCTTGCCAATTCTAGCCTCAGTTAGTAGTCGCCTCCAATATTGTCCATTTTGACTGGCGTACAAAACTACTCAATAAAGAGTTTGTCACATTGAAGTTCTTGTTTCTATATGCTTCTTCTAAACATCTGACACAAATTGTACAAATTGCTCTTTAATCACTTGAAGATCTACGCTCATGCATTGAATTTCCCGGAGCCAACCAAAATTTTACTTGAAGATCTACGTTCATGCATTGAATTTCCCGGAGCCAACCAAAATTTTGCTTGGAGATCTAACGACTCCCCTAGCATCGATTCTATAGTTATAAATCACTCTTGTTACACAATGTTAGTTCTTAGAAGAAGCTCGACTTTCATATGAATGCCTGGAAGAAATGAAGGAATAAGTTAAAAAAAAAAAAAAGGCTAAACAGCTTATTTGTAATTTTTTTGAGTTGAATGAATAATCTGTGTAGCAGAATTTTAAGAATGTTGGCATCATTTATGAGGTTCATTGCGTTTCCTAGTTTGCCGACATTTTCCTTCTAGGGTCAAAAAGGTTAATGATAGGTTGTGGATGCATGTTGTCTAGATTGATCTTTATAAAAAGTAATGCCCAAGTGTAGGCTTCTTTTGCCTGGTAGCGTTAGCTCACTGATCCAACTTCTGGTCATCAACTAATCATTTTCATGGATCTTTATTCAGCTCACTGATCCAACTTCTGGTCATCAACTAATCATTTTCATGGATGCTTTGTTCAGCTACAGCTATATCTGATTAATCTTGTTGATAGTTTACTTTTTTATTTTGACAAACGATTCTACTAGTACAAAGTGATGCTTGTTCAGACTGAATGAAATATCTGAAAAAGCATAGGGACCTCTTTCTAGTTAAGTTTATCATTTCCAATATTTGGAATGCGTCTAAATCCAACCAAGGTATCTTCATGGCTGTTTGTGGTGATTTTCTTGGTTCATGGCTATGTAATAAGAGACTAAAGGCAAACTATGGACAAAAATTAAGGCTATGCCACACATAAAAGGAGGATTGTAACTCTTTCTTATTGCTTTGCTCAATGTAAAGACATCTATTTGTCTTTCTCTGAAGTTTTGAATTGCATTAAATGTTAAGGTTTCCTCTGAACTAATGAATGTCATGCTACGTTTGAGTGACGAAGCATCATTTTACGTCTCATACAGTTTTTTCAAAGTTAAAACCTAAAAATATTCATTTTTTATATATGGTTGCCTTACCAATAACCTTAATGTATATCTCATAAGAGGCAAGGGAAGGCATGAGTAGCCTGTATTCTACTAGTAGTTTTGTAAAATGTAAACTCGTTGAGATTGAGACAACTCATTGTTTGGCTCAGCTTGTTAAGCAAAACCTCATTTTTTGTTTGTATTTAGGCTGTTAAGTGATCAAGTTGAACTTGAGTTGTTCACGATCATACAAAGTCATATATGATTTGTATAATATATATGTCGTCATTTTTTATATACGTATATCCATACATTGAGCAAAGAAAAATGCATTAAATTAGTACACATAATGTGTTCATATATTTATACATATGCATATATAATTCTTAAAAACAAGTATGCATGTAAAGTTCATGTATATGTATATTTTTATAAATATATAAACAAAATCAAGCTACTAACAAATTGAACACAATCTAATAAGACCTTATATGTATTTGACTTGTTTAATAAATGAGCTTAGAGAAACTAGTCGAAATCAAGCTAATTATCGAGCGAACATGAACAATGAGTAAGGAGTTACCATGTTGCTATAGTGAGAACTCAGGAATTAGTGATTTATAATAGGAAGTGGTGGCCATACTTTTGTGCTCTCTCTTAAAGTTTACACACTTGCTTCCATTGAAGGCCATATTACTAAAGCTGGAAGCTTTGAAATGTTTCATTGAATGACGTTTTGATTAAAAATTTGATATCCATTTTTCCTTGCAACTTGATATTAAGTCATTGGCAAAGTTTTAAAAGGCAGACAAACATTAAATTTAAAATAGGGGTTCAAGATTCAAAGGTGTAGCCAGGGTGGACCAAATGATATAATAAATATGAAAATTATTTTAATTTGATTTAAATGATATAATAATGATGCAATAATGATATTCCTACCAATTTATTAAACAATATTTTAAATCATGATACTTTACCATTGAATATTTTGAATATAATTCTAAATGAAAATTTTGGCACATGATATTTGGATTATTTTATCTATACATATGTCTATGCGCTTTACAACTTTTTGCAAAAATATATTCAGCACTATCACTGGATTGGAATGTCAATAATTGCCAAATTTTGAAGAAATTTTATAAACCTTTTTTTTTTATATACAAGACATTTATGTACAAATTTGGATGTATGGATTTCAATAGTTTGTATAATCAAAATCGTTTATTTCTTGCCCTCTAATCAATATGAAAATACTATAAATTAATCAACATTAGAACCGGTTACAACTATTTTATTGGTTTCCTTGCAACCACCTGTTCCTACCAATCATGGCCTGTTCTGTTTGAAAGTAATTTCGGAGTTGGATCGGAGTACTATATGGCTGAACCAATCGAATAGGTTGGTCCGGTTTGGTTTTTAAACCCATGGTCATAGATGTAATTGAGCTTTGTAGTTGTGCGTGCCCTTTCTAAATACCCCCAATCTCATAGATAGGCTACATCCAAAAATTTAGCTGCTATTTATTTCTCTTCACTGAAATACTTTATTGGATTTGCCTGGAATTTGTAGCTATCAATAACACAGCTTGACATATAAGGCTATGTTTTTTTGACTGAGGCTCGCAATCAATTTTGAAGTCAACAATCTGACTTTTCACATTTACTCTATCGGTTCTCTTTAAGGTGGAAATGACTTTGGTGTCTATAATGAGCAGCTTGGTGAACTTTCTTCTCTCTAAAATCGACATATTACTCATTCATATTTCCTATTAGCATCACGCATGCATCGTCCAAGTTAACCTCTTTGCTCACTGACAACTAGTTTAGAAATGAATTAAAGATAACTAGTTTCTTAGGATCCTAGGTTCGTCGGTAACCAATATGCTCAACAATGATGAAGAGTTTATTTGGATACACCTGATTAACCTTTCCCTCCATGATGATACCATCCCCAATGGTCCTATTATTTTAACCTGGATTTAGAGAATGCTTTGCTTTTTATTTCATAGAAGTGTCAAACTAAAATCACTCGTAGCTGGAGACTTGATACTTCAAAATTTTGAAGCCACAGATTTATGCCCTCTCAAAAATTGTTTCACCTCTATATTTGCACGTTTTTTGTTGTCACTGTCATAATGCAATCAATAAGTTATAAAATTCTTTCAAGGACTTGGAATGTAGAAAACTGATGTAGTTCTTTTGTGCTTCTTGAAAAGTAAACTATCAACAAGATTAATCAGATATAAGACTAAGTCTTTAAACTTTAGTAAGTTAGGGGATTGTAGTATGACCTGCTGTTATGTTTAATTGAAATAAAAGATATAAGACTAAGTCTTTAAACTTTTTGGGAGTCTCACTCTAACTTTTATATAAGTCTAAGAAGAAATTGATGTGAATGGATGTAGAATATGATTATATATGGTCTGAGTGTTTGAATTTATCAATATTGAAATAGGCAGTCGGACGGTAAAAATTAGTTTTCATCATTAACTAATAATCCTCTAAAATGCAGGTTAGTTTTCATCATTAACTAATAATCCTCTAAAATGAAGATCTACTAATGAAAGAAAATTAATTAAAAAAATTAACAGTAAATTTACCTTCGCCTAAATTAACTATGCTGTCTATTAACATTCTCATTTATATTACTCATTTTTTAGTCCAAGATTAAACTTGAAATTATTCAGTTTAAAATAATGTTAGCTCAACCATCTAGTGAGTGAGTATTAAATTTAAATTATACATAAGATAATTTATGGTAGTCAAAATACAGTTAATCAGCATAAAATCATTCGACAGTTTGTTTTTAAATTTCACATAATACCTGAACTATTAATTTTCCAAGTTTATTGAAAATATATAACTAATCTATAAATTTCTTTTACTCTATTTAAATTATAATTTAATCCCATTTTTAAATAGTATTAGCCATTAATTAAATAATATATATATATATATATAATCTTATTTAGAGTCTTAGAAAATATTTCAGCCTACTCAAATTAATCCTAACATACAAGGAAAACAGGAAGCTTAATATGAAAAATCAAGGGTTTCAGGTTGCAAGAAAGTGAGAAACAGCTAAACTGTCTGAATTTAATATCATTGTTCTCACTTGTTATCTATCCTAACAAGCCTTTTACAAACTGCAATTACTATGAACTTTTGATAAAGCATGGGGTCCATATTTAGTTGCTCACTAGTGAATTTACACATCTCACACATAAAGTTTGATATTTACACACAAAACTCAAATCTTTAAGATCACATTAAAAATAGCTCTCCCCACTTTTTATCAGTAAACTACACGTTTTCATACATCTATTTAAAACACCAAATTGTTATGCACGTAAATATGAAAGTTTAGCCGTGAGATATGTAAATACATAAGAATTTTGTACTAATATGTAAATTTTCGTTTATCTTAACAGATGATCGTCTCTCTTGGTGCTGGGCCCTGGGATGCTATTTTTGGAGGCGGCAACATCCCTGCCTTTGCATTGGCTGCCATCTTTGCCTTAGTATCTGCTGTTGTGGCCATTTTAAAGTTACCAACAACTTCAGCTTCCAATACATCCACAAGCTTCCATGGTTTTGGTTAGAGTTCCTGCTTCCTTAACAACAAAAACATTCACATTCTTTCACATCAATTCTTTAAAAAAAAAAATTATTTTCTCTCAGTTATTGTTAATCTCCATTTATATAGCTTATGAGAAAATTTATTTTCTCACAGTTATTGTTAATCTCCATTTATATAGCTTATGAGAAATGTAGATTTATGGAGAAATTTTAGTTTTGTGTATTTGTATATACTTTGTTTTTGTTTAGATGATGCTGTAGAATAGCTTATTTAATGTTAATATGAGGACTAAGCTACTGGTGGAATCAAAGGGTTGTTTGAAGTTGGATTTGGTCGTGATTAGTGGTGGAGCCAGCATTTTTTTGGGGTATTTACATGCATTCCACTCAATTCTTATGTATTTACATTCTAACACCTAAACTTCACTTTTTACATTTATAGCACTCCAATCTTTTATATAACATAAAAATATCACTATTTTAACTTTTAAAAAGTTCGGTAAAGTTGTATATATGTAAAAATTGAAGTTTAGGTGTTAGATATGCTACGAAGAAATTGAGTGCGAAGAAATTGAATGGTATGTATTTAAATCTTCTAATTTTTTATTCTGATATATCTGAAATTTGTTGATTTATTTTGTGATAAGTGCAAAATATATATATAGGCTTGACCAACATATTGCATGGGTTGGCCCTCACAAGAACTTTTTTTTTCATGTTAGTTTCAAGCCAAATTTTTGGGTCAGGTCAAATATTGACACCTTTGATTTATTGATTCAATTCTTCAAGGAATCTAGAGTACAAATCAAGTATAAATATAGAAGAGATGATCCATAATTTTTCTATGAACAGAAAAAATACTTTCCGGAACAAAAATAAAAGGAGAAAATAATGATACATTATTTGAATATTTGAAGTTAGATTTTACTCTATTTAATCATACAGAAGAAACAACGCCATTGACTAATGAGATGGATGAAGCAATCTTAGAAACCTTCTGGAAAAATGCAGAGAAACAGCAAAATCCAAGGACTCCAGGATTTGTGAACATAAACAACAAAAAATACTCTCCCTCATGTTGGGTAGTAGATAACCATCATACCAAAGTTAAGAGTTCAATATGACCTTAACGAGAATATCAGTTATTTGAAGATTTGAATGTGTAAATAAGTAGGATGGAACTATCATCAAAATATTCCTCGGTAAAATAGCAATAAACCACTAATGGTTTGATACAATTACTCAGGATCAAGTTTTTTATATAAAAATGATGGAAATATTATTATCATTAGACTATTTTGATATTAACTTCAATTTTTGTAGCATTATCTGCAATCAAATCTCTTCACAGATCTCGTGCGGCATATCTCTAGATTTTACTTTAGCACTTCTTCATATCACAATAGTTTGTTCTTTACTTCTCCATGTGATTATGCTTCCCCAAATATGTGCAATATCTAATAGTTGATCTCCTATCAGTAATAAAACTTGCTCAATCCTCATCAACTAACACTTCCACATTTATGTGAAGAGATTTCCTAAAATATAGTCATTTGCTAGGATCCTTCTTCAAATATTGAAGGATCCAAAAAACAGCCACATCTGTGCCCTTGGAATTAATCTTGTATGTTGGTCGAGTTAACTGAGAACTAAATCTACTTCAACATGTCTATAATATCTTTCTTTTCTCATCAGGACATATATCCTCGAAAACCATCATAACAATTAAATCCATATTGTGTTCATTGGTTTATGTCCCAATAGCTCAATTTTTCTAGGATCAAGAACATACTTCAACTAGGATACATAGATGAAATCCTTAATAAGGAAATATTTATACCAAGAAAATATAAAAGTTTCCCTAGTCTTTATCATCAAATTCTTTCACCAAAAAATTATTCAAATTGATTATTTCTCCATCATTGTATTCAAAGAATAATGTCATCAACATAAGCAGTCAATAAAGCAATCTTGCAATTGACATTTATTTTATGAACATGGAGCAATAAGTTTAGCATCACGAGAAACCATGCATCTTAGCAAACCTTAAAAATCAACTAAGGGTGCGTTTGGGGGAGCTTATTCATAGCGGTGGTGTTTCAAAAATGCCACCTGACTGTTTGAATAATGCTTTTTACAGACGTTTTAAAAACACCGTTGGCAGATTTGTATTAAACGAGAATCGCGGGTAGGGCGTTTCGTTCATGCGAAAGACATTTGTGGCCCTCGCTCTCTCTGCCCAGCGAATCACTCGTTCGCCTTCTCCTCCTCTCAACCCCCTCGCATCTCCTCTGCCTTCATTGCGTTTGCTTGCAAGCTAGGGTTTCGATTGTAGCTGGTTAGATTTGATTGATGGATCGATTATTTGTTGCGTTATTGTGGTATGTGGCAGATCGATGTTTCGGTGGATGTGGAGTATGTGCCGGAGAAGGTAGTTGTGGATGATACGCTGCTTGACGAGTTTAAAAGTGTGTTTGAGAAGTTCAGTTTTAGGGATTCGGCTGCTGGCGAGGTAGGAAATGGTTATATTATTGTTTGATTGGAAAACCTTTTGTCTGATTCTGATTTATTGTGCTGCAGAACGATGAGAAGAAGGATGAATTAGCTGCGAATGCTGAGGCTAAGAAAAAGGACTCTGATTCTGAGGATGAGCCGGATACTTTACTGAAGGAGAAAGGGATCTCGAATAAGAAGAAAAAGGTTTTATCCTGTACTTAAATCAGTGTTGTTGTTTGCTTTTCTTGATTTTACTTGGCCTAAATTTAAACTTTTTTTTTTCTTTTGTAGCTTCAAAAGAGAATGAAAATTGCTGACCTGAAGCAGATATGCACTAGGCCTGACGTGGTTGAGGTATTGTTACATGCCTTACCTCATATATATTATATTTTTTTTGTTATTTCATGCTGTGTTTAACCATTCGTATTGCATATAATTGCAATTGTTTATCTTAGTTGTGCTTTATCTAGCTCATTTGAACTGATCATAGTGACCTTTTAAATTGATGAAATCCATCAGCTTAAGGCACGCAGAGTTATTTTTAGCAAAAGTTGTTGGTTTTATTCTTTAAGTATTTTATGTCGAATAGCTAGTTGAATATGTATAATTTAGTATCTTTGCTTGTTAAAACTTTGAGTAAATTGAGAATCTCTATGATTTCAAACAGAGATTACATGAATTAATTTTAGATGATTATGATTATTTTGGTTAATCATAAGGAAATTTCTGCTTTGTTTAAGGTAGGACATGATGAATACGTCCAATGTTGTATCATGGGCCTATCTAATGTTTTTGAGGTTTGAAGTTTGGTCATACACTGTCTAATTTATCTTAGCTGAAGTTCATGTCAAGTTCATTATTGAAAATTGTTATTTAAGTTAGGACAAGGACAGCAATACAGCTCAAAGTTTTTTATGTCGAATAGCTAGCTGAAGTTCATGTCAAGTTCATTATTGAAAATTGTTATTTAAGTTAGGACATCACCAACTAGTTGTTGAGCACTTGTAAGGTTGCTAACAGTTGAGTTCTGAGTGAGTTCCACTAAAACCTGAAAAGCCAATTCAATTTGCACCAAACTCCACTGAAAAGTTTGTTTAAATCAACAGGAATATAGGCTTTGATGGAACACATGATCTCTTGCAAGCATCACCTAACTATTTCCGATGGAGTAAGTAAAAGCTTTATTTATGTTATTTATTAAGTATATGAAGAGATAGCAATGTCACACTCAAATCTAATTTTGAACAAGAAATTGTTAAATTTGAGATTAACTTGAATGTTCGAGCCAACCATTCTTGCCCTAAAGTTGTGTTGAGTAGGTTCCACCACCCATTTTCGGTTCAAAAAAAAGCTTGGGTGAGTAGGTGACATTTTTTGTGTTTCTGTCATTCTTATCAGCTCTAGTTATTTGTAATGTGCTTCTTTAAAGCTGACAGCAATACAGTTTCTTTGTCAAAAAAAGTTGCATTCTAATTACTTGCAATTTTTTTGGTCATCATCCCATGTATTTTGAGGTTGGCTTTATGAATCCTTCTCTTTTAATTCATGTTGCATGTGGCATTATGTCTTGCTTTCTGGAAACCTTCTTTACTGTAGAACCCTCTGAATTCCTCTTTTTGTTCCCATTTGTTCCGCATGTGTTTCATTTTCTCGTCTAATTGCTGCATCTGCTGTTCTATTGTGAACATCCTTAATGAATAATATTAGCCAGTGTTGTATGCTTAAATTTTTTAATATATTATTTGATGATCTAACTTAAATATTTAATTATAGGGGAACTTACATATGTAATAGTGTAATGCACCTTTTCATACATAGGTTAGGTTGCTTACGATGTAAATATCAAAGTTTGGGTGTGAGATAAGTAAATGCATAATAATTGGGTGCTATGTATGCAAATTTTCCTTAATTGTATATTGTAGACCTGATAACAGTTACTACTATCTTCTGTTATAATCTTTGATTTGCTACACAAGCATCTAAACTAAAGCAAAGAAACACTATTTGAGTTTTCTAATTTACTTGTCATCTGTTAAATTTTTAAATTTTTCTTTTGAATTGGGAGAATGTTGTTGTCAATGCCTTGGATTTATTTTTTTGAGTATTCTACCGTACGAAGATGCTTGCATTGAAGCTTATAGAAAGATATTTGAACATTGCATTGTCAGTCCATTAAAATGATACTTTTCTTTTTTTTTTCATAATTATTGTTTCTGCTTTTTTTAGGTATGGGATGCAACAGCAGCTGATCCAAAGTTGCTTGTATTTCTGAAGTCATATCGGAACACTGTACCTGTACCACGACATTGGTGTCAAAAACGAAAATTTCTACAGGTGAGTGATCAGATTTTTTTATTTATTTGTACTGCCATTTGCATATTTGGATGAGGGAATTTATGTGTTTTTTTGGAGGGGCATTGACAGTGTGAGAGAAGGTAAAGCCAGGTTACACCCCTCTTATACATTAATGTGGTTATTGCAGGGAACCAGCTATAACAGTCATGGAGCCAGGAGTTGATGGTATTTTTCTGAAGGGGACCATTGAATGGTTTCTCTTTTGCTATAATGCTAGGTGGTGGGGTAGAGGTAGAGAAATACTTTGCTTTTCATGTCAAAGCTGAGATGTGAGGTGTATCCCATGGCCTGTTAAAATTTGGGATATGAAGTTGATGATGTTGATATAATTTTACAAAAAATGCTCCTAGAGTCTGCCTTAGAAAGTTAAAAGCTTTGTCGATCAAGCTAAGACTGAATCATTTCCTTTTGGCTTTGCAGATTTTGTGGGCTGTGACACCTCCTATATAGTTTTAACTTGGCGTCCATTTGACTAGATTCCGCTATGATACTTAGTAGCATTATCCAGTTTTTTTAAATTCTATTTAGATTTCATTTATATTCATTTTTTGCAGGGCAAGCGTGGTATTGAGAAACAACCATTTCAACTTCCTGACTTCATTGCTGCAACTGGAATCGAAAAAATAAGACAGGTAATCTAATTTTTAATTAAAATAATTTTCTAGTTTCATTGCAATATTAATTCTATTTCTACCATCATCTTCTTTCAGTTTAATTATTCACTGTGGCCAGCGTTACAAACTTTTCTCTTGTATTTCTTCATAGGCATACATTGAGAAAGAGGATAGCAAGAAATTGAAGCAAAAGCAACGTGAACGCATGCAACCGAAGATGGGAAAGATGGACATTGATTATCAGGTTAGGTTACATCTTTTTTTTTTTTTCACTTCTGCCATGCATTTATAAAACTTCTTTTTCTGGGATGGGTGGTGGGGGTGGGAGCAGTGTATTTGGGCCGGGTATGGGGTTTTGGTAGGTTTGTTTGTGAATAATGCCAACTAGCATGGGCTAATGAACTCTTTTTTGCTAACTTATTTCGGTTTGTATTTTGATTTTCCTCACCTTCTATGCAGTCAATAGTTAACTTAAATATCTGAAGTTGGCTGTTCCTCTTTTTATTAAGCTTTAACTCTTACCTTTTACATGTGAAACTGATTAGAAATCTTAAAAAGAGTTCATCTTAAAGCAAAGGCTTTTTTCCAGGTTCTTCATGACGCCTTCTTCAAATACCAAACTAAACCGAAACTGACAGCACATGGTGATCTCTATCATGAAGGAAAGGAATTTGAGGTAATATTACTGTTCAGTCTTTTGTAGGGTTTGAATGTTACACTTCACCTAAAAGCTGAACAAAAACAAACATATTAAAGCTAAAGTCTCAACATTTTTCATTTTTCCATTCTACAGTTTTAAACTCAAATACTAATCAAATTACTGCCACTAATTGATGCTTGATAATGAGAATCGAGTTATTTGATTTACTTTTTATAATTTTGTTGATTTATAGGTTGACTATTGATGAAAATAAAATAGTAAAAATTTTATAAAAATTTTCTAGTGTTTATTATTGGGAAATTTCTACTTAGGCCTATTTATAAATATTAATTAACCAATAAGTGTTATCTTATTTTTAAGCCTATTAGAAATTGTAATTTAATTAAGGAATATTTATTATTTAATTTTTGAAGTATCTCAATAATTTTATATGAATTTTATTTTTCATAGAGATCAACTATTTCCTTTTATTTTTATGATATGCTAAAATAAAATACATTCAAGTATAAATAAGATTATGATTTGCATTCTAAAGTGTTTGTTTTTACTTTTTTTTTTTGACATCCCATCTTGAGTGAAAAGAAGACAATCAAAAACACTGTTATAGATGCGAAGTATGACAATTCTGTATTTTTTTTCAATGGATTTGAATACTATTCGATTAAATCTTCTTGATATTTTTGTTATGACATTTGAGGTCTAATTTAATCATCCAAATGATTTAATGTGAGATTTGAGTGCTTGAATTTATTTTACCCGTTCAATTGTTTCTAACATTTATTGGTAAGTTATGGATGTATTCTTTAGATTGGATATTTTTGTCGATGTACCTACCATACCTAAACTAGATGTGAACTCTAAAAGAATTTATGAGCTTGGTTTGATTCTCCTCTTTGCTCTTCTGGAGTTTCAATAAGGATGAAAGCATAATGTAGTTTTTAAAGCTGGTTAGAATAATATCTTAGAGACTTTCACTAAATAAAAAGCAAGCTACCCTTCAAGAAAAAAAGATGGTTAGTTGGCTAGGGTTTATTTTAGTTATGGGAGATGGAAGTCATAGGCACAAACTTCCATGGTTTATTATTTCGCAAGCATTATGCTTGTGAATACTCTCAATCTAGGATGTTACTATGCTTTTTACTATGGTTAGCAGTTCAACATTATTGGGTGAGTGGATGAGTATAGATAATTTACACTATTATGTCATTTCAGGTTTATATGGTGGACCAAGTCTACGAATGACCGACAATCAAGTGGTCATATCATTGGGGGAGTTTGATTAACAACCTTGCTCCTATGCAAAAATTCCCAACTTAGGTGGATATACAAAAGGACGCTTATGCTATCTATGTGAGGTTCAAAGATTTAAGGATGAATAAACAAATGCTCAAAGAGTTTCAACATCATTGATAATGGTTACAGATGTTAGCATGTGACTAGTTCAACAATCAGGCTTGGTCGATTTATATTGAGAATGGTTCAAAGTTACAAAATCTCTCCAAGTACAACCATAATTGTTTATACATGATTTCTCTTGCTTTGTCTTTTGCTTAAAGACATGACATAGGTTACATGATCAGTTCGAAGTTTCTCCCAATGCGGTTATAGATCTTAGTATGTGAATTTTGAATCCACCATTAAAGGGGATTCCTTAAATAGTATGGGTGAATTGGATTATTGTTGTGAGGCAATACACCTTTTTAATTCAAAGTTCATATCAAACATTTGATTCAATGTAGATCTCCAATATTCATCCCGTAATATGCTAAGGTAACTATATTGTAGAGAACATCTTATCGTATACACAAGTTGCGTCGAATGAGAAGCCTTGAATTTTGGATTGGAGTAAAACACAAGTAAGCATATAGATGGTGTAAAGTTATTTATCTGGATGAGGATGTTGCTTAAGTTGGAGAACATGGGCTAACTTCGATAGTTTTAGTTCAGTTGGATCAATTAGGATCAATTGGCGAAAGTGTCAAGCTAAGTTATCCAATTGATTGAATTACATGCTTGATTTGCTAATTGAAGGACCATTCAAATTAACATGTTTTTATTGAACTCACTAGATCAACTAGTCAATTAGCACATTGATTAATTAATAAGGTTCAATTGGAAGTTATTAAGTCCTTGTTATATTTGATTGGTTCTATCAGGTCATTCATGGCCAAATTAGTCAATCTAGATTATGGTAGTTTAATCATGGTTTAAGGTGGGTCAACCTTGGTTCATTTGGTTTATTTTGATTAATTAGTTCAATTGGGACCGACATGTGGCCAGCTCAGGCTGGTAAGAATCAATTTGGGCCAATTTAGCTCACTTGGGCCTAATTGTACTCATTAAGTAGGTCAAAGGATTGATCAATTTGATTGGATTGATTGATTTGATTGAAACCAATTGAAGCCACGTCAAGTTTATTATATCTATTTTGGTCAGTCAGCAACGGCCTGATTGATTGGAATGCGATCAGTTCAAATGAGACCGAACAAATTTGATCAAGTGAGCTCAACATATTTGCCTGATCAAGTTTGTGCTGAGCCAAATGGGTGGGGTCAATAATTGTTGATTGGATTGGGATTTTTTATTTGGCCATGCGTGATTGTATGATTTAATCGTGCGACGATAGCAATCAATCTGGGCGACGTGTTGGGCTTGGGTGGTTGCAACTCTGTAAATTTGATTGTAAAATAACTATATGAAAAGTTGTTTTCTGAAATTATGATGTAATTTCTTTAAAATAGAGTTAGAATTATAAATCATGAATTGAAAAACCACAAAACAATACTGCACTCTCGATGCAAGATGATGAGGTTGGTGGTGGAATGTTGTTTTGGACAACAAATTTTTCCAAAGCACAGTAAAAATGTTATTAGTGAGATTTGGAAAGTGAAGTTGAGAAATGATGTCCATGGAAGGGCCTTAGCGTGCATATGACCTTTTTAGAGTTCAACACTCCATGATAGGGCAATCGGTTTCGGTGTATTTTGTTCTGGGTGATTTACATACATACCCAACTGTTCTGTCTTTATCTATATTTAACCTAAACTTCACTATATTTTTACATAACATCTAAATCTAACATTTTAAAATACAACTGGTATTGACTTTTTAAAGATAAAGTACACCTTTTCATACATAAGTTTTGACGTGACTGAAAAACTAAAGTACTATATAAGAAAATTTCAAACTTTAGGCGTTAGCTATATAAATACATAAGAATTGTGTGATATGCCTGTAAATGTCTCTTTTGTTTTATATATTTGAACCTGCATGGATATCTGGGCACCGCATTTTGCTATTTCCATGCTTTTATGTTGTTCTGAGGCTGTGGATGATCGGTTGATCGTGTATCACTTCTGCAATTTGACAGGTTAAACTAAGGGAAATGAAACCAGGAATGTTGTCTCATGAACTTAAGGAAGCTCTTGGTATGCCTGAGGGTGCTCCACCACCGTGGCTTATTAATATGCAGGTAATGTTTTGTTGTTATATTAATGTTGAAAATCCCTTTCTCACGCCTTAACTAACAAAAACTTGCTTTTCAGAGATATGGTCCCCCACCATCGTATCCCCAATTGAAAATTCCAGGATTAAACGCCCCCATTCCTCCTGGAGCCAGTTTTGGTTATCATCCCGGTGGTTGGGGTAAACCTCCTGTAGATGAGGCAAGTCTGAAGAGCCTATCTTGGATCTTTTCTCAGTTTTCATGTTTTAAGGCCATTTACATACATACAACCCAACATATCCAACACCTAAAGTTTACTTCTACATTTATACCACCCAAATCTTTCATATTACATCAAAAATACCACTATTTTGATTTTTTAAAAGTGAGATACATCTTTTCATGCATAGTTAAGGTGGCATGCATGTAAAAATTGAAGTTTAGGTGTTAGATATTTAAATGCACAAGGGAATTAAGCAGTTTATATGTAAATCTTCGTTTCTCAAACAGTTTGTATTTTGCCTTATATATTTTTTCTTCGCTTTGACAGTTTGGACGCCCATTATATGGGGATGTTTTTGGGGTTCAACAACAAGATCAACCTAATTATGAGGTAAATTCAAACTTTTATATTTTTTTATGGCTATTGGTCATGAGGTCATTTAAGATAAAAGTGTAAAATGGTCCAAGTCTGAGACTAATTTAACACTTTTATACATTCTGGGACTAAAATGGCTAGGGAACTATTATGGCATATTACTCGGATCATTTAATGTAACTCATCTTTGTTTCTCATTATGTTTCTGCTGAAGCTCAACTATAGCTCACTGTCTTCCTTAGTCTTAAAGTGGTAATTAATATTCGTTCAACTTCAATTTTTTAGGAAGAACCTGTTGATCGCTCTAAACACTGGGGAGATTTGGAAGAGGAAGAGGAGGAAGAGGAGGAACTGGAAGAAGAGATTGAAGAAGAGGAGATGGAAGATGGCATTCAATCAGTTGATAGCCTTTCAAGGTGCTTTGCTTTTGCTTTACATAGCTGTGGTTGTTATTAAGTTGAATTTCTAGCATAATCTATTGCTGATCTCTGTTATTTTACAGCACTCCTACTGGTGTGGAAACTCCTGATGTGATTGACCTCCGCAAGCAACAAAGGAAAGAACCAGAGAAGGAAAAACCTTTGTACCAAGTAATGCAATTGTTTTAGCATGATTTTCCTCTTCGTTTATGTCATTTTGTCATTCGTAGCGAGCATACTGATTTCTTTTTCTTTGAAGGTTCTGGAAGAAAAAGAAGAAAGGATTGCTCCTGGGACTTTGCTTGGAACAAGTCACACGTATGTGCTGTTGTTGCTACTGTTTATTATTACCTGTTGAATAATTAAATTTGTGTTTTAAATATGGTTTGAATGCATTTGAAGATAAATTATGTTGTGCCATTAACTCCTTTGGTGATTGTTTTCTTGTATGGAATCCAGATATGTGCTTGGAACTCAAGAAAAAGCAGCTGCTAAAAGGGTGAGTATGCGTTATTTGGACCATTACCTTTCTTTTTCCTTAAAAAAAGTTATTTAACAATCTATACGATAGAAGAAAGGTTGTGAATATGAAATTGTACTAATTCCCTACTAGAATATTGAAATATCCATAAAATCCATTATAAATAGTTTTCATCAACCTTTTTTGTTTAATTGTAATGCACATAGTGCAGTTGATGGAAGGAGGGCCGTGTAATTTTTAGACATGAAATATTATATATATATATATTATATATATATGTAAATGTTAGAAATCTAATGTTCCATAAAATAACAGTTTTGTTTAGCCATTATATATATATGTAAATGTAGAAATCCTAATGTTCCATAAAATAACAGTTTTGTTTAGCCATTTTGAATGTGAAAAATATATTATCAATTTTTTTTGTAAGGATTTTGAAAATATTTGCAATGTTTGAAATTATTACATCATCTAAGTAAAAAAGGGATATAATAAATTTCATTATTTTTCAAAATTTCTAACTTCAACTAACCAATTCAGCCGCAAGGCAAAGCAATTTCAGAGAGAACGATAAATTTGAGGTGTTTGGAATCAAATTCTAGATTTAACAAACTAATTTCTAACCATTACTAATCAAATTAGCCCCAAAAGCAAAATTATTTAAGAAAAGCTGTAAATTAACCAGCCATTATGTGTTTTTTTGTTCCTTCAGGTTGATCTTCTTCGTGGACAGAAATCAGACAAAGTTGATGTCACCATACAACCAGAGGAGCTGGAAGTCATGGATGACGTTTTGGCTGCCAAGTATGGCAGAATTTCTCATAGCTATATCTATTTGTTTTTTGTTTTTTTTCCTTGTTTTTTGTTTTGGGGGGAGGGGGGGAGAGATTTACATACATACCCCTCAATTCTTATGTATTTACATATAACACCTATACTTCAATTTTTACATACTTACCATCTTTACTTATGCATGAAAATGTGTATTTTACTTGTTTATAAGTTAAAATCATGATTTTTTTGTTGTGAAAGGAAAATTTTGGGTGTTATAATGTACAAAACAAAATTTAGGTTTTTAGATATGTAAATACATATGGAATTTGGTCATATGTATTTAGATGCTCCTTTCTTTAATATCGGTTCATATTTTATTTTGATCTGATTTGCAATTATCAAATCACGCAGGTATGAGGAAGCCCGTGAAGAGGAGAAACTGAGGAACCAGAAGGAAGACTTCAGCGACATGGTTGCCGAGGTTCGCTTTCTATCAAAAACATATTTTCCATCCATTTTACAATCTTTATAATATTCTCTCTTTCTAATTCATTATATAATCATAATGCATCGATATTTTTTTCAGGCTGAGAAAAAGAGGAAGCGAAAAATGCAGGAAAAGGAAGGGAAGTCTAAGAAGAGGGATTTCAAATTCTAAATCATACTTTTGTACACAACCTCTTGAAGCCATTGGGTTTTTTTAAGAAATTATAAGACTTAGGCTTTGACAAAGCAGGTTAGCAGCTGTTTGACAAAGTCTCTGCTGTAATACTCTTTATCTGTATTCAGTATTCTGCTCTTATTTGGGAGAATCCGTCTTATAGCTGCTATAGCACAGATCCAGATTTAATCCAGACATTACTGTTTTTGATATGGAATTCGGATCTTGAATTCCTATGTAGAAATTGCTTTTTTCGGGTTTAATTGATACTTCGTTTCCTGAAGGATATGAAACTTTTTAGGAGCATTTACATTATTATGACGACGACGATGACGAGGAGTTGACCATGACCACTATTACCACCACCACTACTACTACTATTACCACCACCATCACCACTACTACTATTATTATTATTTTTACTACTACTATTACTACTAGTACTACTATTATTACTACTATTATTATCATTATTACTATTACTACTAGTATTACTATTACCACTACCTACTATTATTATCACTATTACTATTACTACTAGTATTACTATTACCACTACTATTATCACTACTATTACTATTACCATTACTACTATTACCACTACCACTACCACTATTACTACTACTATTACTACTATTAATACTGCTATTAATACTACCTATTATTACTACTATTAATAGTACTAATATTATTACTACTATTAATAGTACTATTACTATTAATACTTTTATTAACATTACATCAAAAATATCATTATTACTAACTTTCATGCATAGATTTTAGGTTTTAGCATCTATATAATTGATTTGTAGATGTAAGCATCGAACATTAGATGTTAAGAAACGCAAATGCATAAGAATTGTTTGGTAGGTGATTGTGTTCTGCATGGGTATGTTAATTAACCTGTAGGCTCTTGCAGCGTGTTCTTACATTTATTTAAATTGGTGTTTATCAGGCGGGAACGGGATCATAGCCGGCCATAAGACATTGGTTTTTTCAACCCTCATTTGATTCCGGTAGTAATGCCTGCCACATCTCTGATTATTTTTTACATTGTTCAATGTTGCAATATGTTCACTGAAAAAAAAAAAACGAAATTGTATTCCTTGAATCCTTCATTTGACATCAAACGAGTTTGGGTTGTCAATTTCTAAGATTTTTATACTATAAACTAAACTTTTGCTTCCTACTAACTAATTTGATTTATTATTATTATTATTTTTTTATACCAGTCACCGAGTGATGATTTAAATTATTCAATGAGATTAGCACATTTCTTATCTTGCTTTGGGGGCATGCGCATATGTGCCACCAACACTATATTTTTCTTTTACATAAAAACTATTGTTACATTTAAAAAGTGATACAATTTTCATGCATGAGCAATACATAAAAATTGATTGGATTGCATATATTCCTTCTTTTTTCTTCCCTAATTTATACATGCATGCATTTCTAAAACATAAAAGGCCCTACAAAAGCATTTAACCAGGTGTCAAAATTTAGAAAGTAGCAGTCTGAATGAGCATTTCGCAGATGGAATGCCAAATAATAAAATTACCTAAACCGGAAAAAAATATATATATTAAAGAGAATAAATTCTGTAAATGCTCTTTGGTCTTTAAATTGAATCTCAAGCAAATCGAATTAATGATTTCATATTATCCTCCCTCAGAACATTATTTTAAAATTAAAATAAAAAAGATCTACATACACAAGGAATACAAGATCATTGTATTAAGATAATAATAAGACCCACAGCTTACAACTGACCCTGACCATAAAATGATAAAACAAAAATAAATATTTATAAATCAGCCCCGCGCAGCGCCCAAATTAGAGAAAAAAAAATCAAATGAAATAAAAACAATAGTAAATAAATAAATATTTGCAGTAAGTTCGCAATCAAAAAAATAATTTTTTTCAGAAATTTTAAAATATTTTACGCCAAGGAGTGCCAAATCGCAGTTTGGCTTAATTTAGTCAATTTCGCTGATTCACTCATTTGCAAATATGAAAAGTATTTACTTTTTAAAAGCTAAAAAGAAGAAATTAATAATGTGATATGAAAGATTTGGCTGGCATAAACATAAAAAAAGTAAAAATTCGGTGCTAAATATGTAAATACTTGGGAATTGTAAGGCATGCATGCAAATGCCCACTTTTTTTATGGCACTGAACAAATAGACAACAGGGCACCTAAGTCCCTACTAAAAACATCAACAAATTCCCAGCCATTTCCGTTCTATCAGTATCTCTAGTAACCTGTCGAGAATCTCAAAATCGAACTGCCTAGTAGATGATCCTTCTGAGAGTGTTTACGTACGTGTATCTCGAAAGCACCACAAACAACTTCCGAAACCTGAGGAGCACTGGCTACTGTATCAGATTTATGCCCTTTTTTTTTTTATTACAGGGAACTTTACAAAAATATCTCACAATTCTTACGTACTTACACATCTAACACCCAAATTTAATATCTGCACTTCTAACATCTTGGTAAAACAAACTTATGCATGAAAAGTTGTATGTCACTTTTAAAGACGGAGAGTGATGGAACGTGGTGGTCATCTTTTATGAGATTTGAGTGATATGCATGTTAATCTCAATGTTTTGGTGTTATATATGTAAATACAAAAGATTTGTGTGGTATGTAAATGTAAATATATGTGTACATTTATAAATATAGAAGAGCACATACCACAGCCACTGGCTATAATGTTCGGCCATAGCTTGATAACATTTCAGGGGATGCAGGTTTGGCATGCAACAGATGCTTCCATTCTGACCAGATAAAGATGACAATAACGAAATCCATATATCCACAGGGCCGATATATTTACGAATAATATTCGTGCTGATCTGCAAAGTTCGCAGCAGGAGAGTGTCAGATTAACCAAAAAAGTTCACTATTTCGAATTACAGTTCATCCATAGAACTAAATATGAAAAAGTTACTGTCGGAAAAGGAAACAGAACCTAAACATTGTTTACAAAAGTTAAAAGGGCTCAAAACTATGCAGAAAGTGTAACTTGAGAAAAAAGAGCATTGACATGCATACCGTTCAATTCTTATATGTTTACAAATCTAACACCTGAACTTCACTTGTTTACATTTATACCAAGTAAATTTTAACTTTTACAGAGTGAAATAAACCTTTTCATGTATAGGAAAAGTGGAAATATGTAGAAATTGAAGTTTAGATGTTAGATATGTAAATACATAAGAATTGAGTAGTATGTATGTAAATCTTCCAAATAAGTACACTAATTCATGCGCTTAACATGGAAATGGAAGTGTTTCTAAAAGCTCCATCCTCCCACTGGAGATAGCTATTCGCAATTTTAAATTATTTTCGAGCTAATTTTATGAACAAATATGCATCTAAACAAAACAAGCTATCCTGTAAAACATCAAGAAAAGGTCATAGTCCTTTTAACCTTTATTTTTACATATCTTTCATTCATCATCTCCTCGTCATGTCTGACTTTCTATACTTCCCTTCCAAAAGTTGACTATTATGAATAGTGAATACTAAATTGAAGAAGAACTTCAAATGCTATAAACATTATTTCTCATTTAAATGGAAGAAACCATCTAAAGTGGTCTCAAACTGTTCAGATCTTCAAGAAAGAAAAAGAAAAAAACTCATCTTCTTGTTAATCCTCATCCAAATTTAAAAAACAAAATTTTAAACTTTGGGATGAGGTAGCTTTCATGATCATGTCATATGGTTATAGAACAACATGATTCCTAAAATCAATTGATCATATATATTTCTGAGAACCGTAAGAAAACGTCTGGGAAGCTATCAAACTGACTTACAGAAAGTTAAAAATTATGCTTTCATCTATAAAATCAAAAAATAGTTTTTCATAAACAAGCAAATAGCTTTTCTGCAGAACTTAGTAATAAATCGATCAAATTTATCCTGAAATCTTGAGTAGAGAAAACTTACCATAACCATATGAGGTCTTCACACATATAAGAATCAAATAAGGAAAAAAGGATGTTTATGTTTGACACACCCAAATTCAAAAACATTAGCCATAACAACCACAAAACCCTGAGGTAAGAGACCTGATAAAGAAAATAAAAACCTTTCACCAAAAGCAAGATTTGTGTTACAACTACTACCATAAAAGGGACATATCATAGGGAAATGGAGGAAACTATTTGAAAAGACCCGAGAACGGTGGAAAGAAAAAGGACCAATCAAAATGATAGGCTCATCTTGTTGAACCAAAAGTGTTCGACATATAAAAATTAACAAGCCAAGCAATTCGTTGATTCTCTTGAAAAACTCTGTCATGCTTTTTAGTTGAAGGTGGTAAAGATTCTAACTCTTGGATTTCTAATCACTCAATTAGTTGTCATAAAAATTAGATAATAAATCAGCAGTTATTAATCACATGACAAATCTTCGCAAAATTTTGTAAACCTACCTAGCAACAAAAAAATAATAGCCGATAGTTCCCTAACCACTATTGCAGGTCTAAGAAATATTCTTATTTCTCCTACAATTACTCTCAACAATGTCCTACATGTTTCCAAACTAACAATAAACATTTTGTTTAGTCATAAACTCACCAAAGACTATAACTACAGTGTGCATCATTTAAAAATCATTATTTATTTTAAGATCTTACAATAATAGGTACATCTTGAAAATTATTAGGACTACTCTTCCAAAAATCAAGTTCTCAAACATTATTAAGGAGTGGCCACACTAATCTCCACATATCTAATTAATTTAATAACCTTAAAAGTGATTGATTACAAAAATCCCTTATATTATCTAATTTGTTTTTTTCTCAAAACTTTCTAAAATTTTCAATTGTATGACATGTTCACATCGACAAACACTGTGATCCTGTGGAACTAAATTGTGTTTTTGTAGGATACTCCTTCACTCAAAAAAGATATAAATGCTATCACTTGACCATCAAAAAACTTTAACTTCAAAACATGTCATGAAAAATAAAATTTTTTCACCCAAATATTACTTAAAGGGAGAACAACCAGAAGGAAGAAATATTTTATGAATTAAACATATTCTCTCTTAACGTCCCAACTACACAAACACAAGCAATACATTACTCTAATCCCTAAACCTCTTCAAGCCTACAGAAGAAAGATAAATCCCATCCAAAGTCTTTAGTAAGCTCAAGATTCAAAGTTCTTGTCAATTAAATCCCATAACAATATTAAACCTAGTACCACGCATTCTCCTCTATATGCAATAATGCAGTACAATCCTTTCAAAATTTTCTTCTAAATATCAGCTTCAGCACCAATAAAATAACACAAATCCTATTTGAATCATTAGAAACAAGAATTAGAAGGATACCACAGATAAGAGTTGAATGCCCCAAAAAAATCACATTTGGGAGTTGTTGACCTACCAAAATGTTAAAAAATAATGTAGATGCAAATGCATTTCTTCATTAAAAAAATAACCAAATAGAAGCCCGGATCGCAAAAACTAGTGGAAGAACAATATACACAATCCTATGAAAAAGACTACTAAGAAAGCTTTATTCTGTTGCTAAAATATTTAACCAACTTAATTTCTTTAGTTGTTAATCTTAAATAGTTCATGCAGCAATCTTTTGACATGGGAATGTTGAAGAAATTTAATTCGCCACTAAGATTCAACATCAATTTCATAGAAAAAGATGCGTCCACTAAAAATATTACTAATATATATCCCCAAGTGAATGGTTTGACATATCTACAAAAGCTACATATGGAATGGGAATAAATAAAGCCAAGATTATCACACCCTCCTGATAAAATATTTCAATAATAAATAAAATTGATTGTTATTATATTATTGATGATACAATTGTTACAAATAATGGCAACAGAAAAAAATGAATTACTCAAGAAAAGTATCGCCACATAGTTTGAAATTAATGAATTAGGCAAGCATATATCATATAGAAGTGGCTTAATCAAAAAAAATTCTCTCACACAAAAAGTATGATATGGATCTTTTGAGCGAAACCAAAAAAAAAAAAAAATGATTGCAAGCCTTATGAAATTCCAACTGAAACACAGTAAAAAATTGAATTCAAATTAAAAATGTTGGGCAATATCAAATAATAAATGAAAAACTAATTTATCTATTTCATACCCATCATGGCATTACTTTTGTTGTAAGCTTCATAAGTCAATTATGCATAAATCAAAATAATCTTAACTTCAGGTTTTATACAGAATACTGAACTAAAATCAAATCTTAGAAAAGATATTCTCTCTAGAAAACATAAAATTTTACCAACTGAAAGTTATACAGATGCTGACTATACGGGATCACTTGTAGATAAAAGATCAATTTCAGAATATTGTCCACTACTGGCAGGAAATATGAAAATATGAAAAAACAAGTAACAAAAGGTCAAGTAATAAATCTAAATTCAGAATAATCACTTAAGATATCTATGAACTCTTATGGATTAAAATTCTATTAGAAAATTTAAAAATTAAATTAAAAAGATTTAAAAGGATACTAAGAATATAAGTCTGTCATAAGTATTGCCTGCAATCCAATATAACATAATGTAACCAAACATGTGGATGTAGATAAGCAATTCATAATAGTTAACATTAGAAGGTATATTAAATAACACTCCATATGCTTCACCAAGGATTCAACTTGCTATTATATCAACTAAAGAACTTTGCAACCCTCATTCAAAAATATCTTGAGCAAATTTAAAATGCTAAAACCCTGTCAATACATTAATGCTAAAGGTTTGTTTGGGAGAATTTTTTAGTTGCTTGGCTTTTCAAACTGCCACAACAATTTTGCTTGCTGCCTTTTTTGTTGCTTTCTGAAAATATTTGTGGTATCTATTTTGGCAACCATACTTGCTAAATGTGACAACGGTAAGACAGTCAACTGATTTTTGAAAAAATAAATATTTATTCTTTACAAAACAACTTTAAAAAAAAAAATCACGAGAATTTAAAAAATTATAGGAAAAATAAATATTATTACCGACAAAGCCAATAGACGGTTACAACCCCACACTAAAAGGGAAATGCAAAAATAGAAACAAAAAACACAACTAAAGTGTATCTCAAGAGCGGTGTCTCAAGAGCGGTGTCTCAAGAGTGGTGGAGGTCGGCGAGGTAAGTTGGAATGGGCAGAATGGGATGTTGGAAGAAGGTGGATTTAGCAGTTAAGGTTTCTAGAGGATGGTTGAGGTGCGGTAAGCCTTGTGGGTGGCTGGACAACAACAAAACAGCGAAGGGAAGGAGTTGTGGACTACGGTAGCGACGGTGAAGGGCTGGGACAGCTAGTGCAGCTAAGCAGGAGACCGGGAAAGCTGTTGGGAAGGGAGAACTGCAGTAAAACAGCAAGGGTAGCTGTTCAAGGGCGGCTGCAGCAGGGAAATATGACGTGGAGCGGTGGGGAGCAATGTGGGAAAAGGACGGAAGGGTTGGAAGGCAGAAACTGCGGAAAAAACAGCTAAGGAGGGGCATTTTTCGAGCGATGGCAACATGTACGGCGATGGCGGCAGCGGAGGAATGAATACGAAGGCGAGGATGATTGAGGATCACCACCTCGGAACGAGACACGGCCGGAACATCACTCGTCCTTGGATACAACCCTAGAAATGAATGAAAGGAAAGAGGAAACTCGCTAAAAATTAGAAATAAATGAAAAACTTGTCGCTCGGTTTAGCTCGGTTTAGCTCTGTGTTGTTCGCATGAACCAGTGCCGAGTGTCCGGCTCCTATAGCGGGACACGCTCACAATAGCCTTAGGGGATTGGTGGAGCTTCGACCTCATTTGTTGAAGCTTCTGTTTGCAAGTTGACGGTGACAGAGCTGCTATAACCTCTTAGGCCTGATGAATCTTCGACTGTGGCCTTAGAAGCATCCGGATCCCACTATCGACTGCACTGTCTCCCAAAACACTCGAAGAGTTCTCCCCACTTAAAAGCAACAATTCATATCGGTCCAACTTTCTGGGGGTACGCTGATGAAATGAAATGAGACTGTTTGGTATATTCTATTGAATCCTCCCAAAGTAACCCCAGGCTGGCTCAAATTGATATGAAGTGAGGGCAGCTCGGATCTCCCCAAACGATGGTGGTCGCGGCAGTAACCTATCGAACAGGATGTCCTGAAACTCTCTTTGTACTAGCTGACATGTGTCTGAAACTATCTCTCATGTCTCGGTCTTCTCTACCATCGCCAAAACTGATCCTCCGGGCACTTATTTTTGATGACTAGGGCGCCCATAAACTCCGGCTCCATGACAGGTAGAAGAATTATGCGCTTGCATCCTTGGCGAAGGAGTATGTGTTCTTGAACTTTTCATGTTGAGTTTGACGATCAAACTGCCACGATCTCCCCAACGGGATGTGGCAGACATCCATGGACACCACATCGCACTACATCTAATCATGCAACTGATTCTCGATTAAAAACTCGGCGAGGAGCTTTCTGTTGATGTTGACTCTATTTTTCTTCTCCAACCACATCAAGAAATAGGTTTGGGTGTGCTTATGGGTTGTGAGGGTTACTTGTCCACCATTTATATGGTTGTCACATTCTTCCTGCTCCCTCCACCCATGATAAGAATGGGTATTTTTGTAGTCACAGTGCAACAGATGTAGAATATATTGTGGCAAAGCCACTGCTGCTCCAACGTAGCCTAGGACTGAAGGACCCGTCGAACCACCAGCATCTCACTCTCATTCAAAGGAAGTTGGTACTCTTCACCCTATCCTTTAGCCGTCTGTTCGTAGAACACTTCCTCCACTGCACCTTTTTCGGTTAAGGACACAACTCAGCTCGTCAAGCAACTCGAAGTGATGTGTCCAAAATAAGGGTGTGAGTAAAGCCGACTCGTGAGCCTGCTCGAGCGTGACTCGATAAATGGCTCGAGCATTGAGCTCAATAAGCTAACAAGCCAAGCTCAAACCAGCTCCAACTTGACTTGTTGGCTCGTGAGTTGGTTCGTTCAAAAATTTATTAATATAAAATATACTCAAAATATATTAAATTTCAAGACTTTATCTTAAAGGTATTAAAATTATTTAAAAAATAGTATTTTGTATTATATATTAGATGATTTCTTATTATTCATCTCTTAATTGTTCATTATATTTGTCATCTTATTATAAAGCTAGCTTAAATTAATATCATTTTTATCTCTTTTATAATAAACAAGTCAGCTCTTGAGCCGGATCGAACTCGTAGACTGAAGCTCGAGCTCGAACTAGAACTCGACAAAATTAATCAAACTTAAGATTAAGCCAAGGGTGTCTCGAGCTCGACTCGACTCGTTTACACCCCTAGTTCAAAACCATGACATCTAAAACATTTCCTAGTTGGGACTGTAGCGGTCGTCTTAATTTTCTCAGGCTTCTTCTAACTCAGAGTGACTCTATCCAGGTCCTAACCAGTCTGTTCCACTCTTTGAGGCGTACTCCTCTTGAGATCTCTGACTGTGGGTGGTTGTCTGATTGGCGATAATTATTTGCCCTGCTTCTGTTGTCTCTCCACATTCAGTGTTGAGGTATGAACATCCCTTGGTGTCAAATAGGATTACAACTAGACCACATTACTGATGGCGGGTTTCAGGCCTCACAAATACCTAGCTATGGTGTGCTCCCGTCTCTTTCGGCTCACACTTCAACTTAGGCTGCATAAATTATGTTGCTTACTCCTAAGATAGCGCATTCTGCTGCAATTAATGGAGCTTCAAGAAGAAATCCTGACGGTAGTGCGGGGTAGGTATTACAGCTGCATCGCATTCTTCATTTTCTCCAAAGTTATTTTAACCCGTCCTCTCTGTCTCTCCCTCTTCAAATTCTTCATCACAAAGAAGCATTCTTTTTCAGCTTGATGGCATTGAGCTTCATTCTTTTGTTATCAGACACCTCCTGTTATTAAAATATCCTCTCAACTATTTGCATCCACTCGAGAAAATCAATTGGATCCATTCTCCCCTCGAAGTCCGGTAGAACCACCTTCATTTCTAGATCTCCATATCCTCCAACAAAGGTGTCATCTTTATATCTTCCAACATACATCGCATCTCTGTATCTTCCAAAAGACAATTCATTTTTGTATCGTCCAACAGGCACTGCATCTCTGTGTTCCAACAAGCACCTTATCTCGTTATCATCCAATAGGCACCTCATTTTTGTATCGTCCAACATGCACTTCATGTTTGTATTTTCCATTATGCAATTCATCTCTCGGCCTGCTCTAATATTGTATCCCAAAGCGCCCTGGTCGATGTTCCTCTCCATTAAAAACATCCCTACAAAAGGAATTTGGATGCTCTTCTTGCTTTCCTCCACGAATTTCACTATTACGGTCGATGATGGTCCTACCCTGGGTCCTTCCATCAATAGTATTGAGCCATTGTAGCATTTGACGAGTAATCGTTATATGTCGTCCATGGTAAATCCCTGATCAGGTGTCGGGAATTATCTCGATGGTAGCGTGGTTTAGAATTTGGTTTTAGATAGGTGGAACAAGGTGTGTAGGGGCGATATAGGACAGGAGAGGAAAAATTTGAGTGGAGATAGAGTTGGTTATGGGCAGATGCTAGATACCCTATCATAAGACTAGGGTTAACCACACGTTGAAAGTAAAATGCAACAATAGAAACAAACAAACACAACTAAAGTGCATCCCAAGGGTGGTGGAGGTCGGCGAGGTGGGTTGTAATGGGTAGGTTGGGATGTTGGAAGGTGGCATATTCAGCAAGTAAGGTTTCTAGAGGGTGGTTCCGGTGCGGTAAGGCTTGTGGGTGGCTGGAACAGCAACAAAACAGCAAAGAGAATGTATTGTGGGCTGCAATAGTGAAAGTGGAGGGCTGGGATAGTGAGGGCAGTGAAGCGGGAGGCCGGGACAGCAGTTGGGAAGGAGGAACTGCGGTAAGACAGTAAGGACAGCTGGTCTGGGGCAGCTGCGGCAGCGAAGTATGACATGGAGCGGTGGGGAGCGATGTGGAAAGAGGGCGAAGTGTTGGAAGGCGGAAACTACAGAAAAAACAGCCAAGGAGGGCTGTTCCCAGACGACAACAGCAGGTACAAACGGCAGCAGTGAAGAAACGAATGCAGAGGCGGGGAAAGTCGAGGATAATCACCATTCTGAAATAAGAAACAACCGAAGCACTACTCGCCCTTAAAAACAGCCCAAGAAAGAGAAAACTTAGATGTTGATGGCTGTTCGGAAAAAAAAAACATAAGAAAAACTCCAATCAAAACTCTAATTCAACACATATATAGGAAAAACTAGAAAAGAATGAAAAGAAAGAAGGAAACTCGTCAAAAATTGGAAAAGAATAAAAAATGAGCCACTTGGTTTGGCTCTGTGCCATTCGTGTGAATTGGTGCATGGGCTTTTGGCTCCTATAGCAGGAGAAGCCCGCGTCAACCACCTTTACAAAAAGTTGCAACTACTCCAAAAGAACCCTAAATCACCATTGCTCAACTGCAACGCTTAACCACAGAATAACATATTTGAGTGGTTGAATCCTAATTTCCGTTGAAACCTTATCACCCGAAAGTTAGATTTCATTATTGGGTTTTATTGGAATATTTGTCTTTCATTCGTTTATTTGCATTTTCGAAATATTGTTCACAGCAAGAGCCATTTGTTGTAGTCAAAGTCAGGAGAGGATTCAGAAGATTTCTCTTATTGTGCGAGCCCCATGAAGAATTAAAAAATAATAATAATAATAAATCTTTACTAATTGGTAGAACCTTCTAAACTTCCTCAGGATGCAAATGCGAACCGATACTGCATGGACAAGAAGAAAGAAAATAAAAACATAAATTCAATCAGATACTCATGCACTCAATATTTTCCATTTTCACATTTTACCACACCAAGAAACTGTAGTACATCATCATTCATAATTTCCATGGCATTCCAGTTATTAATAGCTTTAACGGAGTCAAACAGCTTCTATTGAAAACAAAAATCTCACCATTAAAACCATATCCCAGAATTAAATATAAAGTAGAAACGTGATCAAGTAGATGTATTCAAAGAAAGAATTAAGAAAAATGTTGGATAGCAATTTTTTTAAACAAAGTGAAGACGATTGTTTAGATACAATTGTGCAACCGGACCAGTGAAAGTAAAATAATCTTAATTATGACTAGATGAACAAAGTTAGGAATTAATTACTGAAAAAATTCTATGAAAGCGTGTAGACTAATAATATTACTAGAGCAAAATGAGGAAAAAGACCTTACCAGTTCCCAGGCTTCAATATTTATCTCCACATTTTTATGAAGAAATATGCTGTTCAAAAACAGCGCAATATAAGTAATACAAAAGATATAATCATAGGCCACCGGTAATAGAACACAGCATATCTTTAACTTGATATATCTTCACATTGAGAAAAAACAAGTAGTGCCGCGCTATAAATGATCCAAGAGACGCTCAAGCAAGTCTTCCAGGTTTGAATATATGTCAGATGACTTAAAAACAAAGGGGCCGTATGGGATCATTTTTGTTTTTTGTTTGTTGTTTTTTGTTGTTCATTTTTATTGGGTTTTGTTTATTTTTTTATTTGAAATAAAATGTGTTTGGTTGTAATGATTGTTTTTAAAAATACTCAAAACACATAACTGTTTTTAAAAACAAGTTGATTTTTAAAAAAAAATACAAAATCAAAAAATGTGAAAATAAACTAAACAAACACATTGTTTTAAACAAAATAAAAAATATAGAATAAAACAGAACATAAAATTGATGTGAAAGGGGCCCTAAATAAATCTCAAGGTCTGATCTAGTTCTCAGTAATTATGGCTACATAATATAGCACCCCAGATAATCCCTCTCATAAAAAATGATTTATTGCAACAGTTTGTTGGACCAAATAGGTGTGATTAAGAAGATTTCTCGAATTGTAGTATTAATTTACCATTTTAAGATACGAAAATTAAGCTTTTTTTGTACTTTAGTCGGATGTGAAATTAAGGAATTTGCATCTTAAATTGAATTATGTAAGCTCCATGTTTTTCATGTTCTGGTCCTAAAAGTACAGCACAGAAGCCATAGTTGCTTGCATTGCGCCATTCTATCCATAAAAGATTTTATGTATATCATCATCAAAAGCTTCACCAATTTACTTTTGCAATTTAGATAGTATGGAATAGGAGACAATGTGGAGAAGAGGAAAAACATTAACGCATTTGGGGAAGTCGTGAGCTGATGGTTAGAAGGGAGTCAATAGATATTTTAAACATGACAGAGATTTCAAAATTGAGAACAACTCCATCAAAATCAGCCATCTTTAACCTCAATCCTATAATAAACAGATTCAATGTATATGCAAAAGAAAAAGAAAAGAACTATTTTCTTGATTTGGTAATTCCGTGTGGGTGTAAGAACCTTTAAAGAATGTAATAGCAGAAAAACATATTAAGAACAAATGTTTGGGTGACATGTACAGGAGTATTATCAAATTAACAATATAGTTTGCACACCAAAGAACATCTAAAATCTTACAGAGCATATGAAACTATCACAATTTACATCAAGTCATAAATTCCTGGCATCAGCAATGTAAGTAGGGAAATGTATATAGAGGAAACTCAGACGATAAGTTATAGGTTAACAATGATGCCATGCACAAAAGTATACATTTTCATCATCTGTTTTTTAAATAGGGTTAGAATATGAGAACCAAATAAATCCTTTTTTCAATTTTGATTTTCAAACTTGGAAGATGGATCATAGTAATGCTTTTGTTTTTTTTAGTTGTAGACTTTCAGAAAAATTTTATTTCATTTATTTTATGACATGATGCACATAACAGGATAAGCTCCTGTCAGGACAATAATAGTTTATAAACAATAAACACGTACAGTAGCAATAACACTTTTAAAATGATTCAGGCAGGCGATGCTGTTAAATGTTTGATCCTCAACATTGATCATCCTTATTACCATTTTGGCTGTTATTTTTTAGGGGCATTTGCATACATACCACCCAATTCCCATGAATTTACATATCTAACTCCTAAACTTTACTTTTTATATGTATAACATCCAAATCTTTCCTATCACATAAAAAATATCACTCTTTTTTAACTTTTAAAAAATGAAACACACCTTATGCATAGGCAAGTTGGTATACAACAACAACAACGGCAAGCCTTTATCCCACTAGGAAAGTTGGTATGTATGTTAAAATTAAAATTTGGGTGGTAGGTATGCAAATACATAACAATTTCTTGGTATGTATGTAAATCTTCCTATTGTTTAACTATGCATGAATCTATGCATGAAGAGAAGATATTTTTTTTAATATAAAAAGAGTTGCATAGGCAGCTTAGGAGAATGATCGTTAACAAATTTCTTTTTGAACAAGAAAAAATATTTGCATCCCTACAGAAGAAACAGATTCCATCACAAAATAAATAGCAATAATGACCACAATCAGTAAAACTTACTGTTCTAAAATATGCAAGTGTAATGGATAGCAACTAACCATATTCCATTGTGAACATCACGGTGATTTGGATGGCCCGAAACTCCATAGTTATCAAATGAAATTAACTAGAGAGAAAAAAGCAATGCAAGTTACTAGCAAAAATTTCCTTATAAGTGAAGATACCTGAAAAAAACTGACAGAGAGAAAGAGAAGAGTTTAACTCTGGGCCGTTTACATCCATACCACCCAATTCTTAATGCACTTACATATCTAACACCTAAACTTCGATTTTCAAATTAATACCGCATAAATATTACATTGAAAATATCACTATTTAAACTTATTAAAAGTGATACACCTTTTCAAGCATAGTCAGGTGGCATATAGGTAAAAATTGAAGTTTAGGTGTTAGATATATAATTACAAAGGAATTGAGTAGTATGGAGGTAAAAATTGAAGGTTAGGTCAAGCATAGGTCAGGTGGCATATCGGTAAAAATTGAAGTTTAGGTGTTAGATATATAATTACAACGGAATTGAGTGGTATGTATGTAAATCTTCCATAATTTTAATGAATGAAAGTTTGCCAGTTGTAAACCAGCAACTTTTTTTTTTTTTTTTTTTTTTTTTTATTTAAAAATCCCACTCCTATTAAAAGGCAAGTAAAAATCTGCCTGGTGGTCGCTAGAGGCATGGGAAGGAATGTTTTGTTTAAGAAACTAAGAAGCTATTTAGTTACCAGGATTCAAAGTGCATCTTTTGAGAATGTATGGTTGAGTAAATTAAGAATATTTTAATTTTTTCCAAGCTATTTGCTTCTTGTAAAGCATATGGAGAGGAGCAATTTTCCCATTTGGTTGCTGTAAAGTTTTAAGTAAGGCTACCACTGAAATGCAATGATAAGATTGCCTACTGATTGTTCAAGCGAATTTTTCCGATTGAAAAGCAACTGGTCATTGTGGTTGGCACAAGTGGCAATAATAGGTAAAAGGTTTATTGGTGTGTTTTACTAGAACGAGGGATTGAATGACTAAATGAGCGACGAAGGCAATGGGAGCAATAGATCTCAATCTTGGAAAGGGACGATGATAGATTCAGTTGAGCTCTTAAAGACTTGATAGTTAGGCAATCATGTTCTAAAAGTCACAGGTGAAACTCGAAAAGAGTCACACAAGGGTTTTTCAAGAGCAAAGGACTACCACAATGCAAACTAATAGCACCCAATTTTTTCCTTTTTTGAGAGTGGGAGGTATCTTTTGTGCATTTCAAATTTAACAGAAGCTTTATTTCGTACCAGTCACTTCGAAAAAAAATCCCATGCAAACCTTTTAATTTACACACCTAATATATGTAACCAACCAATCCCAAAATCATATTACCATTCACATAAAATAATTTTAGAAAAATAAAATTATCCATGCAAAACATTGCTTAAAATTTCAAGCAACGAACCTCTTACCATTCTTTCATATGTTCATATTAATATGGTAAACAAAAAATATTATGCTTATTTTATTTATTTTTGAGATTACTCGAAAAAAAAAAAACTATCTATATCTATCTATATGAAAATTTGAGTTGAAAATTTGAGTTTTAATCAATAGCAATATAAATATAGACTATGGAAACCATCAGATTTGTTCAAACTAAGGCTTTTATGCGTGGAATCTACTTTTATTCAAGCACCCCAAAAAAAATCCATCTTACAATATAAATAATTTAAAACATATGAAACACAAGGAAGAGTAGGCATTACCAAACTTCTAGCAAAATTCCAATGCTCAATAGCCTCTGCTTAGAATTATGGGGCTAAAAACTAAATATGGAAAGCATTTTCCAAGAAAACAATAGGAAATATGCGAGCCATTAGCCAAACTTTCTTTACTGTAAAATGTACACTTAGTTCTCTAACAAACAACAATCAGCCACATGTTATTTATTTCTTTAAATTGCTATAGTTTTTTATAACTCTAGGAGAAAGGTTAAAAATTAAATATAAATTAGTGATTTGTATACATACCTTGGATTAAAAATCACAAGTTATATCTCTAGATATAAAATGACAACCTTTTTTTTTTGTTGAAACATAAAATGACAAAACATAGATGACACGACTGTTGACCTCATTTTTAGGTCACATGCAGCTTCCGGAGTCATATGGAGCTTCTAGAAAGATCACAATGTCTTTGAACCCTAAAAGCAACACACTTGCCCATTTCTAGCCTGGCGTGGTCCGTGGCGTGACCCCGCCCCCAATCCTATGGCCTTTGTCCGTGGATTCTCATCCCGACTTCCCATTCGATCGGATGGCTAAAAACATCTGACAACCGTCGACGATTGCGGAAACCACCAGAGTAATCCAAACCCCATCTAATTGATGGCTCGGGATAGTCGCCGCTACCTATAAAAGGTGGTTGTTCGTCCCGATCGAGGGTTCGGTGTGTGTGTTCAATGTGTGTGTTCTCAGTGTTGTGTGTGCTTGGTGCACTACGTGCTAGCTCTAGAGGTGTGAAGTAATCGGTGAAGGAACCTCCAAACAGTGAACATTTCTTCTTCTCAGAGTGCCTTCTTTAATCTACGGTCTCCTGTCAGCCACAATTTTGTAAGTCTTTCCTCTTTTCCTTTTTTTTAATTTAAGCATTTTAATTTAAGTATTTGAGTTTAAAATATAGTTTACGTTAACTCAATAGTCTTGAATTAGGCTTGGGTTTGAGTTCGACTCGGGTCGACCAGAACCACACCTAATTCTAGTCCCAACAACTTAACCCAAGACCTAAAACCCAACCCAGACCTGACCAAGCTCAGGTCTAGCCCAACCTAACCCAGGTCTGACGCCAGACCTGACCCAATTTAGACCCAACCTAGCTCAGGTCTAGCCCAACCAAACCCAAACCCTAAAACCCAACCCAGGCCTGACCCAATTAGACCCAACTCAGCTCAGATTTAACCCAAACTTACCCAGGTCAACCGAAGTCAACCTGGATAAACCCAAGTCAACTCGAGTCAACCCAAACCTATCCGGGTCAACTCAAGTCAACTTGGGTCAACCCAAACCTATTCGCGTCAACCCAAGACGACCCGTGTCAATCCAATTCTAGCATTAAACTAACTGGGTCAACCCAAACCAGACACAAGCCTGCCCAGGTCAATCCAGCTCAGCCCAGGTTAATCCTAAACTCACCCACAGCTAACTCAGATCAACCCAAGTCGACCCAGTTTAAAACTGAACTACCCTAAATCAACCGAAATCTAATCCAAGGCTATTGTTATTTTATGCATGTCTCCATATTTTATTGTGTTATTTCATGTTCTTTTATGTTATTGCATGTCTTTCATATTCTATTACGTGTCTATTATGTTTCTCAAGTTTAAAAACAAACAAAACAGCAACAAAAATTGAAAATAAAAATAAAAACAAGAACAAAAAACGGAAGCCCCTTCCAGGTGACTTTCTTCTCAAACAAAAATATAAAAATAACAAACTTCAAAACTTAGAAAACCTTGATTATCCAACATGACTGACAAGATCTAGGAATTGAAACAAATGATTAATTGAATATTGAACTTCAAATTATAATTAAAATACACCAAGATAAAGAACTAAAATAGAACCTAGGCAGATCCTACATGAACCCTAGGTTAGCTAACATAGCCACTATAACTTTGGGTCATACACTTACCCTGGGTTAGTCTGAGTATATAAGTCTATCACAGCTTACGTACCTAGCTAGAATTAAGGACTAGGACATACAAAACACATAAACATGCCCCCTGAAACGAAAGGGAATACCTTAGAAGGATGTAACTCATGGTTACTGACCAAGATATTTTAGCCCTCCTCGAGACTATGAATCCCTTGAGCTACGGCATTTAAGGGGAATTCCTTTTTTGAGGCTGGTTATAGTTGAAGGACCAATTTTCTCAGGACGTCGGAAAGCATAGGCATCTTGACCAGGTAAATCATTCTCAGTGTCTAGGTTAGTCCACCTGTTAGGCTTCTTTATAGAGTTTAGGTTCAACTTTCCATCTATAAATTTTCCTACCTTACTCTATAATATAGGGGTTCTGATTAATTCATGTCTATCATTTTAAATATCAATGATTCACCTGTAAACCCTATCTAATCAGCTCAAAGAGCATTTCAATCCTTTCAAACCATCTTCTGGATATGAAACCTACTTTACTAGATAATCAAGCTTTTCTACCCCTTTGAGCTCAAATCATTTAAATCCTTTCATAATTCGACTCATTACATTAATCAAGAGTTTTTTTAAGGGTTCATGACCATAAGGATGTAATTAACTACAAGGACTTGCCCTTGTAGGAAGCAAGACCCCAGAATTAAAATAAACATTATCTTACACCTGTGGTTCCCTAGACCGAAAGAATGCTTTCATCATTCAAGTAGTTAGGCCCATTCCTAAGGTAATATTCTCTTCCTTCTGGAGGATAAATTATACCGCGAAATGACGTGCCCGATCATTTAGTTAGAATGTCTTCCGAAAGGCACTATAATATCGGCGAATAAAAATTTCCCCACTAATTACTTGTCGATCACTCAAGATAGATGTCAATGATAGCATATTACAAATTTTATAGTTAAATCAATTTTGTTGTGTGATAAATCTGCTAATTGCATTAAGAAAATCACCATAAAAGTTCTAAGAAAGCTTATAAATAGGTTGTATAACCACAAATTTGCTGAATTGAAGTGATACAAAAGATTATCAGATAAATAGAAAATTAGACAAATGACAAAAATGAATACCACTTACACAACAACACTTGCTAGTAAGCATGTAACAACAATAACAAAAAGCCTTTATCACACTAAGTGAGGTCAGCTACATGAATCTTTTTTCTCCATTGTTTCCTATTGACTGTCATATTTTCATTTAATTCTAATAAATTTAGATCATTTTTTATACAACATGCCCAAGTCTTTTTAGATCTACCTTTACCTTTCTTAAAATAAGTCAAATCTAAAACATCAACTATCCTAAATGGATCCTCAGACGATCAATGTTTAATGTGACCAAACCATCTAAGACGAGTCTCTCTAATCTTGTCTGGCACTAGAGCCACACTAACCCTTTCACCGATATATATTTTTTCTCTAAGTGTAAAACCACACATCCATCTAAGCAGTCTATCTCGGCAACACTAAACTTAGTTTTATGCTTATCTTTTATAGGCCAACAAATGCGTCATAAAGCATTGCAGGTCTCACTAATATCTTATAAAACTTTCCTTTAAGTCTAAGCGGTACTTTTCTATGAGACAATAGGCTTGATGCATTCCTCCACTTCAACCATCCAACTTGATTTCTAATAATAACATCCCCTATCACCATCACCTTAAACAAGAGACCTGAGATATCTAAAATGTTCAATCCTTTTAATGACTTGATCACTCATTGTTACAATCCCACCACTAGATCTACTATTACTAAAATTATAGTCCATGTAATCAGCTTTAGATCTACTCGAATGAACGCCTTTAGACTCTAAAGTTAACCTCCATAATTTAAGTTTCTTTTGAACTCCTCTAGTCTTATCCACAAGAATGATATCATATGTAGATCCTCCTCATTCTCTATGTACTTCTCCATCAAACCTCTTAATAAATGTGTAGCTTTCATCGTAGACTTGTCAGGGATAAATCCAAGCTGATTTTGAGAAATCTCTGTAGCACGTCTTATCCTATGTTCAACTATTCTCTCTCACAATTGTAATCTATGACACATTAAGTTAGTTCCTCTATAACTTGCTAGAAAGCATGAAGAGGATGACAAGCAAAGTTGAAAAAACAAAATCATGATGATTTGTATAGGCTAGGTATTAAGAAACAAGAAATAATGATGCATCCAGTCTTATGAGTGAAGATAAAAAGATCATAATAACAAATGAATATGCTATAGCATGATGAAAATAATGTTTAATAAATTACATCAGAAGAGCAAGATAAACATAACTATTTAGTATGGCGTTGATTTATCTAAAAAATTAAAGTTGAGTTATCTTTACAAAAGATCATGCAAAAAAAGGTAAGTCCAAATGAGATGCTAATTAAAATAAGAAGTTGTGGGAGATTGGAGTAGTATGATAAACAATTCTTTTCAAAGAAAACTTTAAGGTCATCGATATGTCAAATGTTTGGAGAAGTATCTTAGTATGTGTGTATGTATCTTTAAGGTTGTGGATATATATATGTATATATGTGTGTGCATGTATGTGAATTTATGTATTTGTATGTATACATATCTATGTATGTATGTGTATGTATGTATTTATATGGATACATACATAGATATGTATACATACACATACATACATGCACACATACATAGATATATATATATATATATATAATATATATTGAAGTTATGGAGGAGTTTGAAGGAACATAAACTATAAAAAAACATATTAGTAATAAAAAAAAACAATTCAGCTTTATAATCCAGAAAGAGAAAAGTATCAACAAGAAAACAAAACATCATGAGCTTCCAATGCAAAAATATCCATAATTGTCAGCAAAGTGAAATAACAATACATGACAGATAGCCATTTCAGATATGAAGAGGTCTTACTACATCAATACAATGTTTTTTTATTTCTTCTTCAACAAAAGTTGCTAATAATTGATGACTCCATGGCTTGCCAAATCCATCCTATATATTATGGTAGAAGACAGAAAGGCATGGGCTGAAAATAAATCATGCAACTCTGATATAGAACAATGAAATTACAAATTTACGGTTAGAAAAAAAATGTCGACCTGCAAATCAGGATGGTCAACTATTTTAATTTGTTGAAGTGGAACCTGCAAAATTTTACGCAGATTAGAAAAATCATTGAATAAATAACAATAATTGGCCTACATTCATGAACTCTCGTGACGTTTATTTTAGCTTAGCAAAACATCACCTTAAGTGTTGCACAAGCTCGATAAAGTTCTTCCTTGCGTATATTTCCCTTGCCTTCTGCATTACCTAAAGACGTTTGATGCAAAATAAGTTTATGGTCTCTACAATTCGAATGTTTGAATAAATACTACCAGAATCATAGTGGAAAATCATGTTTTCGAGATGCAAACAAAACCAACTCGCTTACATTCATAGGGGTGCAAGAATAAAAGTTTAATTCATCAGCTCTTGAACCCAACTCACATTTTCTTCTGGAGAAGCTTAAATTTACTTATACCAAAATAAGTATGATGGTTTTTATATCGTAATATGGTTAATATAGACATTATTCTGTAAAGATACAAGTGTGGAGTACTTTATGATAAATGCAATGATTATTGTTTTCGAACATACGCATATTGTTAATGAAATTAACAAATATGCCTCATATGTCCACCTCTTTATTGTGGATTCAACCACAAATGGCGAAGTAAATATTGCAAGTCTGACACAATCAGTAAGGTCAGCTTCCAATATCCAAAAACCAAGGGAAACCAATGAACTAATCAAATTAATTGCTTAGTAATGAGTAAGCATTAGATCAATTATGTGATCAGAACCAGTGTAATTGATTATGAATTAAAAATTTTGAGGCCATTAGAAGCATCAAAAAAATTTTCCGTAATCATCAAACTTCTTTCTATTTATGACCGATCAACAGTATCAACTCAACTGTAGACTGCAATGCATCAGAAAAATCCCACCAGCGATATCCAAAGTCTACCATAGGACTTGTCTGAAGCTAGAAAACCTACTAGTTGACAAGTCTGTAGCTAGAAACTCAGATTTACTAGAAAGTCAACCCAACTTTTTTTTAATACCTGAAACCTATGAATCTTGATTAATAAGATCAATTTTGGCTTCTCCCTCCATCATTGATAGTGCTTCTGTCGGTAATTCAAAAATGGCCATCTAAAGTGTTGAATTCATACCCAACATGATAAATAAAAGTTAAAGTAGAATAATATTTTTCTCTTTCTTCTTTTTTTTTTTAAATTTACATTTTAAGTTTAGCAATTTGGTTAGTAAATATTACTGATCGATATGCTAAATCATCTTGTACAAAATTGAAGTAAAGCATAGATCTATCATCTAGCAATACCATAAGGCTGCAGAATTAGCATAAGGTGAAGCAATATATATTTACAACCCTAAAATTCTGTATCTCATCCAAAATGTCCCAAAAATCATCTTGGCAAAGCCACGGCATGGTAATGACGTAAGTTTTTTTTTGGAAGAGCAACACTCCAAATATAACGAAAAGCAAACCAACTCATGTGCTTAGAAGCAGTGATCATAAAACAAAATACAGACACCATGATCATTTGTTCCAAATTGCACTTCATATACAAAACTAAGACTGACAATTGTAAAGCAAGCCAGCTCAGAAGTTTAGCAGGTACCATAACAAAAAATACCAATGCTAATGATCGTGTGCTATACTTTGAGTTTCATATCAAAAACTAAAAAAAATTGATCAGTATTCTCAGTCAGATCATCACATTGTTGACAGCCATAAGAACATGGCCAATGATTAAAATTGCACAATTAGGTATTGAGACGATTTACATTCATGAGGCAAGGCTAAGCCTCAAAGCATTTTGAGGCATAAGCCTCGAATTTAAAAAATTACATGAAGTAATTAAAATTATATTAACTATAAAATGTAAGGTAAGAAATAATATATTAATATTCAAATTTATTAACACATTAAAAATTAAGACTAGAACATTCTAATAAAGTACAACAACAAGCCTTTATCCCACTAAGTGGTGTCGGCTACATGAATCCTTTTTCTTCATTGCGTCCTATTGAGTGTCATATTTTCATTTAATTCTAACAAATTAAGATCAATTTTTATAATTTTTATACAATATGCTCAAGTATACAATAAGTCCAAGTCTTCCGAGTTCTACCTCTGTCTTTCTTAACATAATTCAAATCTAAAACATCTACTCTCCTAACCAGATCATCAAATGGTTGATGTTTAATGTGACCAAATCATCTAAGATTACTCTCCCAAATTTTGTCCGCCGCCGAAGCTACACCATCCCTATCACAGAAATATTCATTTTGCATTTTGTTTCTAAGTGTAAAGCTATTCATCCACCTAAGCATTCTCATTTCGGCAACACTTAGCTTCATGCTTCTCTTTTAAAAGTCAACATTCTGCGCTATAGAGCATTACAGATCTCACCACCATCTTATAAAATTTTCCTTTCAGTCTAAGCGGTACTTTTTTATCACACAATGGGCCCAAAGCATTCCTCCACTTCAACCAACCAACTTGAATTCTACTAATAACATCCTCATCTATAGCACCATCACTTTGAACAATAGACCCAAGATATCTAAAGTGTTCACACCTTTTAATAATTTGATCACTCATATCTACTACTAAAATTACATTCCATGTATTCAGTTTTAGTTCTACTCAAACGAAGGCCTTTAGACTCCTAAGTAAACCTCCATAATTCATGTTTTTCCTAATGTCTTTCTCTAGACTTATCCACAAGAAATATATCATCAGCGAAAAGCATACACCTAGGTACAGCCTCCTATACATGTCCAGCGAGAGCATTCATAACTAAAGCAAAAACATATGGGCTTAAAGCCGATCCCTGATGTAATCCAACGGAAATAGGAAAATATTTGGTCAATCCTCCTTCTCTTCAAACACAAGTAAAAACTCTAGTATACATATCTTTAATGACTTGAATATAAGTCATATCAACACTTTTCTTCCTTATAATTCTCCAAATGATATCTCTTGGAACCTTATCGTAAGGTTTTTCTAAATCAACAAAAATCATATGTAGGTCCTCCTTATTCTCTGTATACTTCTCCATCAAACCTCTCACTAAATGTATAGCTTCCATAGTAGACCTGCCAGGCATAAATCCAAATTGATTATGAAACTAATTATGAGAAAACTTTGTAATGCGTCGTAACTTGTGTTCAATTACCCTCTCCCATAATTTTAAAGTATGACACATCAACTTAATTCTTCTATAATTTGCACACTCTTGTACATCCCCTTTATTCTTAAAAATGGGGATCAAAATATTTTTCCTCCACTCCTTAAGCATCTAAAATTTTAACAAAGTAATAAGTAATAAATTGCGTAAAATTAGAAGTAACATGTTGATATCCTAATATCAAAATTATGAAATAATATGGGTTATACAAACATTAAACTATCAAAGTAAGCTAAGATATTATAATAAAATACTAAAGCATCAAAGCATAACAATCAAAATAAATTCAACATTAATCTTTCTTTTCACTCATATTGTCCCCCACCTTAATAAGAATATAACAAGCCATCAATATTAGAATTTTTAATTTTAAAATCCCTATTACTATCATTAACAAATTAATTTTCATTAGAATCATCAGCATAATGAATTATGATCCCGCATCTTATCCTTAGTCGTATCTATATTCTCCCATTTCTTATCATCTTTAATCTAAATTATTTTTTATTTTTAAAGAATAATAATCAATAAAAATATTAATTAAAATAATAATTACTTTGATAATTAGAATTTCAACTACATAAGTTTTTATGGATACATTTTCCTTTTATTTCTTGTTATTTAGTGTGTAAGGTGTGAATTTCAATAGATTAGATATATTAATATTACATTTAGTTTCCTTTTACAGATAGCCTTAAAATTTAATGCATTACTTGAGGAAAGGTGGTCCCAACCTGGGTGAGGTGTATGCCTCACCTTCGAGAAATGAGAGGTGAGCCTCATTACAATTTTTTTTTAGTAAAAAGTGTTGAGACTAGCCTCAAGGCACTGCTCATATTGCGCAATTTTAAATAAAAATCAAAACATTGTTTGTGCTTTGGCTCCTCTCTTTTGATACATCATCAAAATAAGAAATTTCCTAGGCGAGACATATACAATCCTATGTTTCTATCATATCACAATTTCAAATAACAACAGAGCTTAATAACCTCGTTCAAATTATTTGCATATTTCATTTCTACTGTATATGGATAGTGACATATCTTCCTAAATGTTGAGTAATATAAAAATGCAAAACTTGCCCATCTAAGTTAAATGAGGGATAACCAATGAGTCAGGAATTAAAAAGTTGATCTCAATCTGTAGGATGGAAGTTCAAAATATATTTTCTATAATCTTCCTTACTTTACAAAATAAAATTTCTTCATTTCGCCATGTTAGAGAATTTTCAATTGCAATTAAGAGGCCAATCCAATTTATAATCTAAAAGCCACTTATACAAATATTGAATATCCTTTCCGAAAAAATTAAGGCCTGTTATCATAACAACGTAGCACTTTACAACCCAAAGAAAATTGGTTCAAATCAATTACTTCCGCATGCACATTTGTTGAAGAAAAAATATCCGAGCAATTACAATTTGCACAAAACCAACTTAGCTTACCATTAGATATACACAAAATATAAAGATTAAGCCCATTTGAAGTCAAATAAAGAATGGTTGGAGCAAAGAACCTGCATTAAAACACTAATTAACTTTACTAAAATATTAACATACCCGGTAAAATAAAAGGAAAACAGAATGTCTCCAGGAAGCATTTTACAACAAAAAGAACATTTATAACCATATAATTTGATAATCAAAATGGCCAAGTCCGAAGAAAGTATATTCCTAAGGTAACCTCTATTTGAATCCTCTTCCATGAACAGTCCAAAAAATGTGCCAAAGGCACCTAAAAAAACTGATAAAAAGCAAAATAGTAGGTTGGCAAACAAAATAACTTTATTTATAAGGAAAGCTCCTCTTCTAAAATGCTTAAGAAAAAAATATATTTGCACTGACCCAAGAAACCAACAGGTCCTGTTCATGTTCTTTGGCTTGGCAAGAGCATATAGCCAAGGCCAACAAGGACGTTCAGTTTCAAGATCTATCGTTAAAAAACTTAATGACTTATTAAATTTCACTAATGAACCACATACAGATAGTGACCATTTCATAACAGGAAAACAATATTAGTAAAGATGCTCCACTAAGGAATTATACTTTGTTAGATAATAACCTTGACATTAAAAAAGAGAAAACCCTGTTCCTCCCTCCCTCCCTCCTTCATGGCCATGATGTGTACGGTCAAGGCGATACTCTCTTACTACCCGTAAGGTTCACTTTAGCCTGGCGTCTTAAGATATATGTTTCAAAAACTTCATAACTAAAGGTGGGTACTCATTGGCCTGGTTTACATCACTGAACCACATATAAATAATGATCATTTCAAAATAACGCACCTCAGTTTCGAACCAAATCTATAGGCTTGTGACTTTAATAAAAATAAAGCTCAGGCTTATATGAAGACCTGAGTGATTACCTAAAGAAATTAAGTCTCACGCTCATATTTCTGTTCTGAGTGCCTCAAGGTAACCTTACTTTTATTTTCTACATAACTCTCTTGTTTGTAGAAATTTTAGTACGGGATATACTCATATAAATTTAATTAACAATCAAGTTATGAAAAACAATTTTTGCAATCATTAGGGAGAACTACAATGCACTTATTAATTTCAAAGAATTGAGTTGCCTTATTCTTTAACAGCTAAAAAAATATAAAATTAAAAAATCCAACATAAATTTCAATATAAAAACAAAATTGCTCCTTAGACAATAGATACCAACCCACGTCATAAGTTTCGATCCCACACGTCTCAAGAGAAATGGAATTTCTTTTTTGAATGGCCTCCCACCATTGTTAATAAAATAAAATTAATATGGGTATTCATTAAGCCTCCATTTAAATTCTTAGAACTATTCCTTAATCATCATACGCTTGTTGCATTCCACTCAATTATGTCTTCATCTATTACTAAGACCTGCAGTTTGTTATGACAATCTCGGTACCAACTTACTTGCTATATTCAAGTTGCAACCCCCAAAAATATTATTCCACTTCATAGCTATTACATGAATTAAGCGCGTGTCTACTGTTCAAAGCTTCTTTCACTGGCGAAGACAACTTTTAGTTAACGTAGCTTTAACTTCTGTTGAATTGCTAAGATCGAAATTTGGAGAACTGTTTATCTTAAACCTTAAATTGCTAATCAGCAATAATTAATATTTTTAGACTATTTTGCAGCTATTAACAGTTGCTTCGAATATATTTGCTTTAAATGTCTGCTGCTACTAATTATTGATTTGCTTTTTTTATTATTTTATTTTTATTGCTTTGTTAATTAGCTTACAGAAATATTAATGAAATGACATACGGTCATACTGTTCTTTCTTAATACCGAAATTCTGCAACATTAAACTTATGTTGTCCCAGTTGAGTTATAAATTGTGTTAGCTGCTTCTATCATTAAGGGCCCGTTTGGGACAGCTTATAAGTGCG